TGCTACAACATGCATGAACCTCAGAAACCTTCTGTTGATTAAGCACACATGCAAAACTCTACATACTGTATAGTTCTATTTTCCAAAAATGGAAATCTAGATGGACTGGTGGTGGCTTGGGGCTAGGGATAAGAATGGGAACTGACTGTAAAGGCGCACAAGGGACCTTTCTGCCGTGATAATAATGTCCTGCAACTGCACTGCGGTGGAAGAGGCACAGCAGGAATCTATTAAACAGGCCAAAGATGCATATTTTAAAATGGATGTTATGGATGTAAATCATACCTTGATAAAGCTGCTTGAAAAAAGTGGAAACAACGTATACTGCAAAAAGACAGTGATCAAAATACTGTCCAGAAAGCCAGCAGCTGTGCCTGCGTGTATTTTTAAAGCTAAGTGCCTATGGTACAAGCATCTAACCTCTCAGTCAGTAGGGAAACAAGGCGGGGAGGGAAGCACCTAATCTGCATAAACAGAGGGTGAACAGAACGCCTCAACCAAGAGTAATCATAATCAGTTATAGGAAACGGTCAGAGTGGCTTGGAAACTGCTGACAGTAACCTATCACATCAGGTATGTATTCGTGCATACATAAAAAACCTAACAGGCTGCTGCTTGTGATACAAGCACCCCATATCGAAGCACTTGTTCAAATCCCGGCTGCTCCAGTTCTGTTCCGGCTCCCTGCTAATGCACCTGGGAAGGCAGGAGAGGAAGGCCCAAGTGCTTGTGCCTTTGCCACCCACGTGGGAGACCCAGATGCTGGTTCAAGTTCTTAGCTTCAGCCTGACCCAGAACTGGCTGTTGTGGCCATTTGGGGGAATGAACCAGTGGAGAGATCCTTTTATCCCTCTCTTACTCTGCCTTTCAAATAAATCTTATACCAAAAAAAAAAAAAATCACACACACAGAAAAAAGAACTTGTTACACTAGGAAAATATTTAACCAGTTATTTTGTCATGCAAAATACATCAAGAAAAAAAGCATTATCCTTACAGACAGAGAAGGTCACTCCAAGGCCACGTGATGATTCTAAACTTACATGCACACAACACCTAAATGAGTTTTCCACGCTGTACTGTTACACTGGTCAGTTCTCTCCTTACTGTTACCATTCTCCATCTGTGCACGCCTTTCTTCTACACATATGGCCAAACGACACCACTGAAACCCCACCCCCACTCCACCAAAAAAATTAAAAAAAATTCTCTTAGGAAGTTTAGAAACAAAGCAGGTTTCAAATTCGGATTTTTAAAAAGGTGACCTCATTATGAACAAGTAAGATTGTAGAGAACTTACATTCATCACACTTTCTTATTAGGGTCAGAAAAATGTGTTAAAGATGCCTGGAGTTAGCCCCTGAAGAACTGTGCAGTTTAAAGGGGTTGGTTCATTTCAGCTTCTGCATCTTTTTTTTAAAGATTTATTTATTTATTTGAGAGAATTACAGGGAGAGGGAGAGGCAGAGACATAGCTCTTCCATCCAGTGGTTCACTCCCCAGATGGCCAAAATGGTCAGGGCTGGGCCAGGCAGAAGCGATGAGCTTCTTCCAGGTCTCTCATGTGGGTGGCATGGGCCCAAGCACTTTGGTCATCTGCTACTTTCCAAGGCACATTAGCAGGGAGCTAGATCAGAAGTGGAGCAGCCAGGACACAAACTGGCACCCACATAGGATGCTGGTGCCGCAGGTGGTGGCTTTACCTACTACACCACAAAGACAGCTCGGTAGTTTCTCTACCTCTAAAGCAAGGGGAGGAAGAGAGATAAAATTAACATCTACGTCACTAGGTACTGTGAGCATTAAATAAGATAATCCACATAAGTGCACTGAAATACCTGACATATTCTAAGTGCTCCAAACACTGAATTCTTCACGATTCAGGGGTTAAGGGAACTGCAAAACTATTTGATTCTCAATGATGGTGTTTTTAAAAACTATTTACTTATTTATTAGAGAGGCAGAGCCACAGAGAGGGAGAGGCAGAGAGGTCTTCCATCCGCTGGTTCACTCCCCAAACTGTCAAGAGCTAGGTCCATCCGAAGCCAGAAGCCAGAAGCCAGGAGCCTCTCTGGGTCTCCCACACGGGTGCAGGGGCCCAAGGAATCAGGCCATCTTCTACTGCTTTCCCAGGCCATACCACAGAGTTGAACTGGAAGTGAAACAGCTGGGACATGAACCAGCACCCATGAGATGCCCATGCTGTAGGCGGAGGCTTAACCTACCACGAGACAGTACCAGCCCCAAAATGATGTTCTTTTAAAACGAAATTTAAGTAAGTGGGAAAGTATTTTTAAAAGGTAAGAAGTTGCTATATTTACCAATGAAATAAAGACAGAAACTATAAATATTTTTTGTACTTGAGGTACTCACACGCCAGGCATTTGTTCAATTGAGAGGCTGTATGCCACTCACCTAAAAGAACATAAAGGTTGGTTTTACCCTAGAAAAGCTGTTTCCTGAGGAGACAAAAAATCTGCAAGCTATTTGTATTTTACAAATTTTGAAGTATCTGCATTGGAAATGCAGGACAGATTTCAAGAAAGCATCAACTTTTAGCAAAATTTATGCAGTAACTATACAGTACTTAATACTCCTTAATGATTCAAGTATTAAAGACTCTGTCGTGTCCTCAGATCACTGTTGAAGAGAATCACCAATGAATGCAGGCATGTAAGTATAAAAAGAACCAGGCTCTCAACAAGGAAACTAAACATTTTAAAACAAATTTGTACTGTACACAATAAAACTAAGTAAATTAATAAATTAGAGGGGGCTGGAGGCCTAATTTTACATTACAAAATAATTCCAAGGGAAAAAAACATGTAGGGAGATACTATCACGACTGTTGCAGACAAGACCCAACAATGAAGGCAAACATCAGCAGGCTTATCTGAGGAGAAAAGATCTGAAGAGTCTCAACAGTAGCTCCTCCCCAAGATGTTTATTAAGTACAAAGGGAACGACAGTAACTTCACAGGAGAAATACTGGGCAGATAATCCCTTCAGCAAGGGATCAGGGCTAGCATGGTGAAATGTAGACTTCCTGAAACAACACATATACACTGATCTAAAACTCTTGATAGGATGTCAAATAAATCCAAACTGAGCAATAGCCTACAAAATACCCACCAGTACTCAAGACTCCCAGTCATGAAAGACAGGAGAAAATTGTCAGAGATGGGAGTAAATGCAAGATGAGCCCTAGACAGAGTCCTAGAACAGAAAAAGAACATTACTGAAAAGTTGGTAAAATTAAAGATCTAAAATTTAGTTAACAGGATTGTGCCTTGTAAATCTTCTAGTTTTGACAACTGTTTTATGATTCTGTTATAACATTAGGGGATGGTGGTAAGGGGGCATAAGGTTTGAAACACCTTAGCGTTCTGCATAATTTTTCTGTAGGACTGAAATTAGTTCAAAGTAAAAATGTCATAAAAAAAAGAGTCTCCTGGTCTGCTGTCCTGAAATGGCATAAAACAGAACACTTAAGATTCATTTCTTCAGGGGACGATGCTGTAGCATAGTGGGCTGGGCCTCTGCCTACAACACCAGCACCCCATATGGGTGCCAGTTCGGGTGCCAGATGCTCTATTTCCCATCCAGCTCCCTGCTGATGGCTTGGGAAAGCAATGGAAGATGGCCCAGGTGCTTGGACCCCTGTACCCATGCAGGAGACCTGGAGGAAGTTCCTGCCTCCTGGCTTTGGATCAGCTTGGCTCTGGCTGTTGCAGCCATTTGGGGAGTGAACCAGTAGATGGAGGGCCATTCTCTCTCTCCCTCTCTCTATAATTGCTTCTCAAATAAATAAATGTTTAAAGATTCATTTTTGTCCCAATGAACTTGAATATTTTTTGAAAAACTATAATTTCAGATTATAATTTAAAACGATAATTTTAAGACTGAAACTATGAAATGGGACAACACTATTCCAGTTGGTCTTAAGTAGAACATATAAAAATATGTTATTAAACACTCTTTCTTTGCTTCTACTACCATCTTGTTCTAGAAGGAAAGATCAGTTTGAAGGAAGTAACATAGGTTACATAAACAGCAGGATCAAAGTGAAGTTCACGAACATGAAAAATTATTTAATAACAGCACTCTTGAAATCACACATGGGTAAAAGACACAAGAGTCCTACAAGAAAGTCTGTCTCTGGGTAAAACGTCTAGCATAGAAAGGCTCACCTGAACAGCAGCTGAAGCTCCTCTCTGTGTGATTTTACTTTTGGTGTGGTTTGGGTTGGTTGAGGCAGTGTAGGATGAAGTGAAAGAAAAACAGTTTTTAACTACATACACAGTAGATCAAAATTTACGAAAGATCTAATCCATACTTTTAGGTAATCTTTCAGAATCAGTGCTCTGTTCTGATTTTTCCATTAACTAGTGGGGACTCAAGTTTACCCCTTTATCATTAAAATACATATTCATAAAACTTTTACAGTTGTGCTGTTCTAGTTACAAATAGCTTCTACTTTTCTAGGACATAATTTCACTTTGTTTAAGCAAGAATTCATTAAAGAAGCTATAAATAACCTTTAAATATTTAGCCATGAATAGAGGGTGGACTGGCACTGATGGCTTATTTTAGGACTAACGCAGAATGCTTTTTAAAAAGGCTACATTTCAGCATGCATCAAGCTAATGATTAACACTTGCAGTGTAATTTTCAATGTTAGCATAAATTTCTCTTTATTTTAAGGGGTTTTGCTAAAAGCAAATATGTTATTTCAGTTATTTACTATCAGGAAATAGCCTTAAAGAATGTAACTTGTTGGGAAAGCTAAAACATGAATTTTTATTTTAAATATTTTTTAAAGCATCTGGACAACCTTTCCTTCTCAAAAGATAATCCCAATGAACAACGCACTCTCTAGTAAAGAACTGCCTATGGAAGGGCAAGAATCCAAGGACCTCTTATGTGGAACACACAGCATATATATTAATCGACACATTTCTATGCAAAGATCTAAATCACAAAGTTCACAAGATTTAGAGACCGGGTTTCATAAAACTTTTACTTGAAAAACATTTTTAACAAAATAACATTCTTCCAATCAAAGAAACTTTCCCATAGGGTACATGTGGCTTTCTGCCTTAAAGATTACAGTATGACATTCAAAGGGAAGAAGATTTTAAAACAGCCACCTAGCTCAAAACTTACAAGAGAAATAGATTTCTTTAAAGTGCCTTTAAAATATGAAAGCAAGTAATATAAGTTGTTGAATCTATGTGAAATTTTAAAACTTTCTTTAAAAATGGTCCATATGGTATGCACAACATTGCAGCTGGTACAAAACTGCCTGTATTTAGTTGGAAACACAAAAACAATGCATGTGAACAATATTCTTTGAAAAATAATTCAAAATGCTGCCACTACATCATAAGGCAATCTTAGACAAGAGTGTTGACAGTATTCAGAGAATTAGCAAAAACAAGCTGAATATTAGAGGATTCAAACATTTACTTTGATATTTTTAATACCACTGATAAGGATCAGAGAACTTGCTGCCAACTTAATTCAGAATGCCTTATTTCAAATATTTGACATATTTTGCTATATATACTCTAAAATGCACAAGGGTTTAGGATGTAGACTCCCATTATCCTAGGCAAGGTCTAGTTTTTCTGTTGCAATCTGGCAGCTTTGAACCTTGAAACCCTCTTCACAGTTTCTTCTGGTACATGTGACAGAACTTCTTTTCGTTCTGGAATGGTGGGCAGGACAGGATGAGCAATGGCTTGGTGTGGTGTTAAGGAGGATGAAAAAAATTCTTTCTCTATTACAGTTCCAGAAAAAGCCTAGAAGACAAAATTCACATTATGGAAACAAAAAGTGAATAAGACACCCACAAAATCTTTATCCACCATTCACCAATCAGATATTTCTCTTCATTAAAAAGCAAAGTCACAATATTTTTAGATAGATAACAGCATAACATCAAAATACTAATTTTCCAGAAACCATTAAAATATTTCTTAATTGGGGCTGGTGCCATGGCTCACTTGGTTAATCCTCCCCACTGCGGCACCGGCATCCCATATGGGCACCGGGTTCTAGTCTTGGTTGCTCCTCTTCCAGTCCAGCTCTCTGCTGTGGCCCGGCAAGGAGTGGAGGATGGCCCAAGTCCTTGGGTGCCTGCTCCCACGTGGGAGACCAGGAAAAAGCACCTGGCTCCTGGCTTTGGATCGGCACAGCGCTGGCCGTGGCGGCCATTTTGGGGGTGAACTAACAGAAGGAAGACTTTTCTCTCTGTCTCTATCTCTCTCTCTAACTCTAACTGTCAAATAATTAAAAAAATTTCTTAATTACAAAAGTAATTTTCATAGTATATAAGCAAGACAACAAAATGCAAAATATGTATTTTATCTGTGGAAAAACCAAATGTGGATAATGAGAAGGTCTTCGTTCATACATTCATGTCTAGCTCATGTTGTTAACAATAATGCATCGTAATAAAAAGCGTGGGTGTAAAGCTCGTGCATCTATATAAAAGATGATGAATGAGCTACCCTGTGGTGGCCACGCTGCCAGTGGCTTAGTCTCACCAGTACTGACATTTCTTTGGTGTGAGAGATTTATGCAATTATTTTAATATTTTATTGTGCATCTTGTCTCAGTTTTATTTAAGACACTGGTGGAAACTGAAAATCAAACTGAATAACCATGGATTTTAATAGAATTAATTCAATGACAGAAATCAGAAGCTCCACCAAAAAAAATTTTTAATTTCAAGTGGTCAATTATACAAGAATGTCCAAAATAAATTAAATAATGGAATAAAATAATGTAATCAATCACTGGAAATATCTTTTATATATTCTTATACAAAGATATTTTTAGAAAACAAAGGAGTTTCAATTTTTTTTAAGATTTTTTGTATTTGGAACCTCTTATATCTAAGAACAGAAGTACCAACTAAAATCTGATATGTAAACTTTCATGTTTATTTTTGCTCCCTTTATATTTTAGGTGTTCTGAATTATTTAAGACAATGTACCACTTGAATGGTTTAAAAAACCACCCTCCTCTACCTCTCACCCACACTGAAACACAAAGAATGTCATCTCCTTCCTACAGTATCTTTGGAGTGCAGCCTTCCCAAAGCTTACTCTTCTAAAACAAACAAAAAATATTTTATCATGATGAGCACAGATCCTTATATTAAGAATATTTTTGAAAGAGAAAATTTTTTGGCATTTAAAAGATACTAGAAGTCAAGATATTATTCACAGTAGTTGCCATGATCATGAACTATTTATTTTGATGTTAAAAAATTTATAGCATCTACTATGTAACAGCCAATACAAAATGCAAAGCTAATAAGGTTGAAATGAGAATAAGTTCCACACTCTACCTATACTATTTTTTAAGTCCTTACAAAAGCCCAATTTTCAATTACTCATCAGCAAAAATCTATATCTATTGCCTGTTTACTAACAGTATAAAAAACTATTAAATAAGCATGGCTAGCATTGTGACACAGGAGAGTAAGACACCACTTGTGACACCTGCATCCCATATTGGACCACCAGTTTGACTCTCCACTACACTTTCCATCCGGCTCCCTGTTAATGCACCTGGGAAAGCAGTGGATGAGGGGTTGGGCCCCTGCCACCCATTTGAGAGACATGGATGGGGTTCCTGGCTCATGGCTTTTGGCCTGGCCCAGCCCGCACTATTTGGGGAATAAACCAGTGAATAGAAGATCCCTCTCCATCACTCTGACTTTCAAATAAATAAATCTTTTCAATAAGATCAGATACTTTTCAGATCATTTTATGAGAAACAATGGGCAGACGGGAGGAAAAGACTCTAATCATATGTCTGGTCCCACATGCTAATGATCTCTTTGCCCAGTTACCATTTGTACATTTAGTACCATTAGACATTTTTATATAAGTTTATTTATATACATATATATACACATCTTCATTTGTTTGAGAGGCAGAAAGAGACACAGATAGAACTCGAATTACTGATTCACTCCCCAAATGCTCAGGATAGCTGGGCTGGGTCAAGGCTGAAGCAGGGAGGAACTCAATCCAGGTCTCCTCTGAGGGTAGCAGTAACCCAGTGACTCAGCCATCATCACCATCTCCCAGATCTGCATGAGCAGGAAACTGGAGTCAGGAGCTGGAGGCAAGTACTGAACCCAGGCACTCCAACATGAGATGCAGACATCACAACCAACAATGCAACCATGAGGCCTGCCCTCTAAATATACCTGTTTTTATATATATTTGATTGTAAACACAGCATATATATTGGCTTGATGCATGTATAAGTTCCCCAGTCTTCTTAAATACTTTTTTAAAACTGAAAACACACACAAAATAACAAGCCTGGGAATATAGGAAACAATACTGTCCTATTTCATGAACAAGAATAATTTTGGGATCTCTCAACCATCCTCATAACCACCACAAAACTGTGCAATATGCTGGGGGAAAATGTACAAATATGCACTAATTTTTCTAAGGAGAGATCTATACTTTCATTATCAGAAAAAAATGAATCCATAAACCCCCAAGAGTTGCATTTCATTGTCAAAGGCCAAAACACAGAAGGACGTTAGGTAAGTCTCTGCCATTTTATTTTTTAACTCAGCAAAAGCTTTTAAAAGAGAGCAGAATATACTACTTAAACTATCAGAAAATGACTATAATAAGGTGTACTGACAATTTACTTAAAGCACTAAATGGGATTATAACCAAAAAATGTCATATACATGACAATTAAGATATTTTTAAAATTCCCTTTTCACAGAAATATAATTTTAAGACAGGTAATATTTTTATCAAAAAAATTTCCAAACTATTTTAATATTATAGTATCTGTATTGTATATGCTTGTGATCATGAATTTTTTAATAAATTATTATCCCGAAAGTACAGATTAAAATTAGATTATGACTTTTCATATCAAATAGCAAAAGTTGATCAAAAATATTATATATGAGATAAACAGTTAAACGTACATACCTCAAGTGTTCCTGATAAGGGCAAAAGTTTCTTTTGATGATTTTCTTGTGGTTCTTCTTCCAAAATGCTCTCACTAGCATCACTCCAAGTGGCTTCGTCACAGCTAAGACTTCTCAAAACCCCACGCCTGTCATCAAATTCAGCAGCACTGCTTTCACTGGTATCACTACACACACTGTTCTCTCGGCTCCGAGACTTCAGGATTGACTTACGAGGGACATATTCTCCATTCACAATATCAACAAAGACTCTATAATATACAAAAAACACGTCTATTTTAGGTAGTTCATAAAACAGAGTAACATTATAAGGATTTCTTTACACCTTTATAGAAATTAATCTAAAATTATTAAAACTTTCTATCTAAAATTTTCACATTCACAGTAATGTTGCATCCTGAAGAGGTGTATTTTATCTTATTTTAAAATATTTTTGGCCTAATAAAATATAGTATATTATATGTAAGCATGTTGTAGATGATAATGTCTCAATTTGCCAAAATTCTATATAGCTTTAGACCCACTTGTAAGACATTTAGCAATTTTCACTATTTTATAAATATGGGTCTTAGAAACAGCAGATAATTTTCAAATGATAGGGGCCGGCGCTGTGGCGCAGCGGGTTAATGCCTTGGCCTGTAGTGCCGGCATCCCATATGGACATCACTTTGAAGCCCAGCTGCTCCACTTCCCATCCAGCTCTCTGCTGTGGCCTGGGAAAGCAGCAGAAGATGGCCCATGTCCTTGGGCCCCTGCACCCACGTGGGAGACCCGGAAGAAGCTCCTGGCTCCTGGCTTCGGATTGGCACAGCTCCAGCCGTTGAGGCCAATTAGGGAGTGAACCATCGGATAGAAGACCTCTCTCTCTCTCTCTCTCTCGAACACTGACTTTCAAATAAATAAATCTTTAAAAAAAAAAAAAAAATTCAAGTGATAGTTTTCTCAACAAACAGCCCAACAAAAAACTGAACCAGTATAATTAATTTCTACTCCGAAAAAGTAAACCACATACCAAGCACATCAGAGCTGTGATAGGGAAGTACCATCTTAGCCCACAAGAAGCGCAAACTTTCATTTCTGAAGTTAAGATACAAGATTGTGTGACTCAACCAACTGGGAATGCTTCAAAAGGCATGGCAAAGTGGGAAAAGAGGACAAAACCATGCCCCATTCAAACTGCTCTGGAATCCGAAGCTTTGGTGGCTCAGCTTTTCAAACACTAGGCTAAAAACTTCAGAATATCTCCCCTGTATGTTAGAACCTTTTCCTGTAAAATACTCATTTTCAAAAACACAAGGCATTTGCAGACTGCCCTATACTCTGTGAATCTCACTCACCTGTAAATGTCAGCAGGAGTCCTGATGGTGGGCAGTTCTTGGGTGGAATGACCACTGCCAGAGCTGTTCTTTCGCTTACGTTTGGCTTCTTCTTTCTTTTCACTAAATTTTAAAGTGGTATTTTTTCCAGTATTTATTCGGACCTAAAAATTTCATAGCAAAAAATTAATTGCCTTTTTGAGAAATCAAGCCCAAAACTAAAACAAACTCTTTTAAAAACAGTAAGAGGAGGCAGGCCAGCACTGTGGCACAGTGGGTTAACGCCCTGGCCTGAAGCACTGGCAACCTATATGGGTGCCAGTTTGAGGCCTGGCTGCTCCTCTTCCAATCCAGCTCTCTGCTGTGGCCTGGGATAGCAGTAGAAGATGGCCCAAGTCCTTGGGCCCATGCACCCACGTGGGAGACCTGGAAAAAGCTCCTGGCTCCTGGCTTCAGAATGGCGCATCTCTGGAGCCGTTGCGGTCATTTGGGGAGTGACCTAGCGGATGGAAGACCTCTCTCTCTGTCTCTACCTCTCTCTGTAACTCTTTCAAATAAATAAAATAAATCTTTTAAAAAAAAATAAACCATAAGAGATGTAGCTGAAATTTTCTGACACTGAAATGATGTATATTGTTAGGTAAGGTTAAAATGTCCTCACCCTATTATGTCCCTATGATATTCAATTATATCTTCTTAAATGGTCAAGTCTAGTCTTCAATGTTTTTATTATTGTATAGAAAACAAAATACATTTAAATTAGATGCTAGATTAAGTATAAACTTCACATCACTCAATTACTTTGATAAAAGTTTTTGGTTTAAATCACTTCAAAACAAAGAACACAAACAATCAAAAGAAATATTAAGACTGTAACATGCATAGTATAATTATGGTATATTTAAAGTCATATAATAATCCACACAGCAAACTCATAGAATGACAATCATTTTGTAAGGCACTCTGACCTCAGAATCAGCCCTTAAGGCATTCTGGCCTGGCTGAAAGACCCATGAGAGCATTTTTGGCTTGGAAAGCCAAGACAGTGTAGCAAAAAATGTTCTACATAAAGGACCTTCCTAAGTGAGACCCCACTGGAAATAAGTGGTCATCAAAAAAGGAGGTACTTTTGCCTTGTCTAAATTCTGACAGTTTGTAGATTCAAAAGGCTTCCACAGCCTAGGAAGCTCATGTCAAGAGCCTCAAGTGATCAATGACATCATACATAAGGGTGTTAATTGTCAAATTAACAACAAGAGTTACTGTGCACTAACTTCCCATGCAGGACCTCTGTCCACAGAGTTGTATTATAATTATGTCTAAGTGTTTACAAAACAGATGTATCATTCTTGGGTGCTTCTTTAAAGTTAATTAAGTTTCTAAAAAAAAAAAAAGTGAAATTAACTTCAAGATTCAATGACTTTGAACAACCCTTGTCACAACTGTTGAGGAACAATTTTTTTTTTCGTGCAAATTGTTGAACTCTTTACTTAGTATAGAGTTGGTCTTCTGTGTATAAAGTTAATCAAAAACGGATCTTAGTGGAGAATGGGACTAGGAATGGAAGAGGGAGGAAGAGAAGGAGTGCGAGAGTGGGCGGGAGTGCAGGTATGGTGGGAAGAATCACTATATTCCTAAAGTTGTACTTATGAAATGCATGAAGTTTGTATTCCTTAAATAAAAGGTTTCTTTGGGGGGAAAATAAATTATATATATATATATATATATATGTATATATATATGTATATATATATAATATAAATATAATAAATGTTTGTATTTATATATAATATATATACTTTAAAGCATATATAATTTAAAATAAATTAAGTCATAAAAGCTTAACTACTCAGAATTTCTTAAAACTTCTTCTATTAGAAATCGGAAGAGTGAAGTTTAAAATTCAGCTCTGTTCAGAGTTAACAGGTCATTCTTCTATCCCTACCCAGCGTTAAGCCACACTTTCCATGTCAGTGACTGCAGCTCCCTGTAACATTCTTGCAAATATTATTTATTCTTCCTGTTTTATCTAAAGGAAAACAAGAAAAAAAATCAAAGCTTGGAAAATGAAAAACAAATCTTTTTTCAGTCAACTTTTTCCAAAAAATTCCAAGGATCCCTTTATTTTGATGAATCAAGTATTTTAAAGCATATTATTATTTCATTTCATATTAAAGCAAAGATAACTTAAGGAACTGAAGAATTAACAAATATGCTTTAAACATGTTTCATTAAATATTAATCACAAACATTTAAGACAGGTAGCCAGATAATCAAAGACCCTTAACTCTGATGCAGGCTGTCAATACTCTGTGCACAAAAGGAGCCCTGACTGAAATAAAGGGGTCCCTGTTCTGTTATAAACCAGCTCTACAGAAAGACGAATTTGAAAGAAGAATCTCTAGCAGCTCCTTAGTATATGGCAGTATAAGTAGCTAGTGAGGGGATGGAGGTAGGTAAACTTCCAGTAGCCTGTCTTTCCTTTAACCACAGCTGACCCACTTGGATCTATTTTAAATATTGGGATGCTACAATAAATACGAAAGAAACAAATGATTTTTATACTAAAGGAAAGTTTGTAAATCCTGTATCACAAGATCTCTAGTCATGCGACCCTAAACAGCCATAATGCTAAAGTCATGATTACTCACAGATGTTTATATTTGTCAGAAAAGAAACTAATTTTACTTCTTCCTAAATTTTTCCTTTTTGCTCATGATGTTCCTGTTCATTTTATGCCCACACAGAAAACAACAACCTGGTATAATTAAAAATTTAACTGAAGCAGTCACTACCACAGCCTAATCACACCAAAATACCACAGTATAATTAACTTCAAGATTCTTAAGAAAATTCTCTGGATGAAGGACAGGTGGAGTTACCATAATTGCCACTCAATGATGATTTCATTCCAGATCCCAACAACTCTAATTTGTGGCTTCAGAGAACAATGGACCAATACCAGCAAACTACATTTTTCTCCCTTTTTCTTTTTCTTTTTTTTTTTCCTTTCTTTTTTTTTTTTTTTTGACAGGCACAGTTAGACAGTGAGAGAGAGAGACACACACAGAGAGAAAGGTCTTCCTTTTTCCGTTGGTTCACCCCCAAAGTGGCCGCTACAGTGGGCTGGTGCAGCCGAAGCCAGGAGCCAGGTACTTCCTCCTGGTCTCCCATGAGGGTGCAGGGCCCAAGGACCTGGGCCATCCTCCACTGCACTCCCAGGCCACAGCAGAGAGCTGGACTGGAAGAGAGCAACAGGGACAGAATCCGGCGCCCCTACCAGGACTAGAACCCGGGGAGCCAGTGCCGCAGGTGGAGGATTAGTCTAGTAAGCCAGGGCTCCGGCCCTCCCCCATTTTCTTTTAAAATACATTGGTCAGAACAGGCCAAAAGAGATTTTCACATTTGATACAATCAGCAATATTAATCACTATTAATACTGTTCTTTCAAAACCATCAGAGACGTTTAATGTTCAAATTATATGCAAAATTAGTAAATTTAAAAGTATACAGACCCTCTTAGGTTCCACAGTATGAGAAAAATATATTGTTGGTATGGAGTTATCTCCAGCTCCTAAAGTATCATGGTCATTTTCATTATCACCATCATCACCATTTTCCTCTTCCTCATCATCATCTTCATTATTCTGGTAAGAAACTGAACCATTCAGTGAACAGTTCAACTGACTATTCACTTGACCATTAAACAGTTGTGCATTTGTAATATCTGTATGGCAACTGCTGGGATCAAGAGAGTCTGTTACTTGACACATCGCATTCATATCTGTCTTTGGGTCTTCTTTTTCCTCTTCAGAAGACGTTGTATCTTCTCCATCTGCAACCACAGGATCAGGCTTACTAGTTTGAAAAAGAGAAAATTAACAAGATCAGGCAAATGTATAAGAATTATACATATTCTAATTTTCAAGACATTTAATGAGCAGAAACTAAAATCTTAAATAAGATATGCTTTAAACTAGAATTTTAGGTTAAAAAAGGTGTTCTAAAGTAAATTAACAAAAAACATCAGCTTCCATGTCACTTCTGCATATTGTAGTTTTTCAAATCTAACAATATAGAAAATGAAATTTTTTTTATCTCTGCAAGAAGGCTACTGGACAGATACAATATACAATATCAATAGTATAATAATTTTGTAAGAAATTCAGATAATATATATTTCCATATAAAATTAATTCAGAGAATATGTATTTCTGTACATTTCTATAAAACTTAATTTCTATACAGAAAAAAAACATTCTTATCTATTTCTATATGCAGCATATTTTATAAGCATGTACTATTACAATTTTTAAAAATAAGTGATTTGTACATATGCACATGAAAATAGTTGCATTTATACACATGAATGCACATGTATCATGCTTCACTCTATAAACAATTTAAAGACCTTATAAAAATAACAAAACCAACAGTGCGACAGAACTGAAATAATATGCAAAAACAGGGAATCACAATCAAGAAAATCACAAGATCCAAAACTAGCTTTAAAAAATTAAATAAGTAAAATAGTATCTCTTAACAAAAAAAAAAAACAAAACAAAAAAAAAAAAACAAAAAACAAAAAACCAAGAATTCATAGGTAAAATGGCAGAAAAAAAACCTTTTGTGGTTCATGTCCTATTTTTCACAGAAACTAATTACTGCTTATGGTACATCATTTAAGCAAAATAATATAGGAACTTCTGCAGTAGCAGCCTTCATTTAGCACTCTGACAATTCTAGTGAGTACTAATGTGTATTTCAAATAACAGTTTGGTAAAGTTTCTCATACTTATAACTACCTAACCAAATTATATATTGCCTGTTCAGTAAACAGAAAAGTTTGCTAAAGGAAAGCAAGGATAAACATTTCACAATATCAAACTTAAATTCAAAAAGCAAGTTTTCTTTTTAACAAGTCATTCAAAGACTGAGCATTATCCTGAGTGTAGTAGAAAAGTATTTCAATTAAAATTTAATGTATTTTGCATCAATAATTATTAAAAGTCAACTATCTGGCATAATTACTTCCTTATATAAAATATGGCTGAAATCCCAGAATGAAAAAAATGTACATTCATTTTAAGTATATATGAACATGCATGGGAATGTGCACATGTAATTCTCAAAAAAAAAAAACACTCGAGGGAATTAATATTTATCTTGAGGTGAAAGGATTATTGATAATATATTATGCTTTTTTGTATTTCCTTCAATGAGCACATATTATTTTATTAATGAGGAAAAAGATTAATGAGGAAATATGTACAGAAACAAATTCTTTTAGAAAGATAATTTGTCATTAGGTACCTATCAAGTTCACCCAGTAATTCTTCTTGTCTCTCTAGTTCTTCAAGTCGAGCCCACAGTTCCTTATCAGCCAGCAAGTCCTTGGATTTTACATCATTTGCAAAATCCGCTTCAAAAATACCTGAAGTTTTTGGTTTGGAATGGGGCTTATGAGCAATTCGATGCTTCCCTATTCAAAAAAAAGAAGACAAGCTGTTAATAGTCAATATTAAAAAGGCACAAACTCAGACATAAGGAGACTTTGTTTAGAGCCAAGGAAGATGCTGAGAAAGAGGGGGCATGATTTTCAGTTCAAACAGAACTCCAATGGCGCACACCTTTGACAGCACTGATACTCAAATGTGCTCCAGGGACGAGCTGTTCTGTACCAAGTGCAGCCTCGCAGGGCCTCCCCAGCACTGTCCAGTCAGAATCTGTATTTCAACAGCAGCCCAAGAAAATGTGCGTGCATAACAAAAACTGTGAATAGTGGCCCTACAGTGGCAAATATATGCAAGCTGAAATAGTCATGAAGCACCCTGGCTACAAGACAAAAATTGAAGATAAGTAATCCTCATTTAGCATCCTTACTCAAGAGAATTTAGTTACTAAAGTAATGCTCAAAAAGGCTTGTCACGGGATACAGCACTGCCAGGGATGAATACCCTAGGAAGAAACAATATAATTGTATATATGAGCATGTCTACTTTTTTAAAACACTTTATTTTATTTGTAAACTTCATGAGAGGGCAAGAGTTACATCAAATCTGAGGTCAAACTTGTTTATTTTTCATTTTGAAAAGACAGACTTTTCTTAAAGCAAACTAAATCTTTGAAGAAAGTAACAGGAAGAAGTCTAAAATGCTAAGATACGACACTATCAGATGACCACAAGTTCTTCATATTTACAACACTGTTTTTTAAATTTGAAAATGTCAAAATTGTATTTCATAGTTTTATTCCCTGTATTACTGACAAAACATTATTAACAATTTTTATGTTTTAGACCCATAGCATACATCATTTTTCATTGGCAAACACAAAAATCTTAACTTTTCTTTCTGTCCTTAATACTCACGCATGTCTCCTTTACTTCACCTACTAAACCACCTTCTCTTATTTGGGATGTCACTTCCATATCAATATTATGGCTAGAACATGGCTTCTAAAAGTATCTGCACTTTGAATCAATGGGTTCTCCTCAGAGTTATTTACCTAATTGTGAACTTTAAAACTGAAATAAATGTTAAAAGCCTACAGTAGCCAATTATAAGTCATTTCTGGGATACTTTTTAAAATTTCACTATTCCAACACTTTTCAACTGATAATAGAAACTACTGCCTTTATAAAAATGAACCCAAACACATAACTCACGGTTGACAGAACTTTGAACAAAAACAAGCTTCATAATCCACTCAAAACATCAGGAATCAAGTTTTCAATCAAATATTACTAATTTCTTAGATTCAAACTTCATATAAGAGTTACTGGACAAATGGGACAAATGTTTACATCCCGTGAATTAAAAGTATATTATAAATCCCAAATATCTCACAAAAGAGCCCTTGAAAATCAACACAAACACCAAATACCTCAGTAACTATATGTAAAACAACTTCACTGCTTACCTTTAAATTCAAAGTCACTTTTAATTTCTTCTCTTATATCAACAATATCACCTGCAGCCTAAGAATTTAAACAAAAAATTAACAATATAAATATCTAACATATTATCATAAAAGCAATCATACAACCTAAGAAATGTCTGAAAACATTTGAGATATCAAGTGATTTGTTTCTTAGCTATGAGATATTTTCAATATGAAAACATTTTTTAAAGGAATATGTTCTAAAAAATATTAAAGATTAAGAACACTCACATCACTCATTTTCTGCAAATCTTCAGTGAATTCAATTCTGGATTCAAAATTTTTCATCACTTTTTTTAAATCATCTATTGTTTTTCTTACAT